TAGTCACTTCACTTGGCATGGTTTGAACATTTGCCACTCACCACATTGACTTCTAACCATATGCATTATGTTTGAATTACTTCATAGGCTCTTTCATCGCTGCTATGCCTATAATCTCCAATTACACATAAATCTACTATTGTACTTTGTTCTTGAGCAAACATTTTGTGTATGTGTTTGTTTTTGGTTTGTTAAAATAAATCAGCCCAATACTTTTTAGAAATTTCACTTTCTAATCACAAATAGTTTTAATATCACTTGAGTATGAATGCAAACCATTAACCAACAAATAATGTACATTTTCTGAATGTAAGTGTATCTTTATTTCAAATGGATAATCTGATTTCTTACTGTTGCAGAAATTTGTCATTCTTCTTGTTACTCCTAGTTATACCTTTTTTTGCTACTTTAAACAGTTCACCATCTTCTTTGTTGTTTATACCTTTAAATATTTGCAGACTTGTTGTTCCCACCTCCTCTCCATTGGTATTCAGCCTAGCTATGCATATCCACTTATTTTTTCGTGATAAGTAAATTCCCTCAAGACCTCCCTAATTATTTTAAGTTATCTTCTCTGAATTCCTTCTAGTTGTCTATTTCCTCTCTCTCCTCCCCCCTCCCCCAATATTAAGATGCCTAGAACCAGTGATGAATAGTTTATAAGGGCATTCTCATCACAGGTATGTATGAAAATATTTTTACTCCCTTCTCCATGAAGTATATTCAGCCAAAAATCTCATTACTTTGCAAGCTGATATCCACTGTCATCCTTTAGGTCTCTTCTGAAATTGCTTGCTTCCAAAAATTTTACTAGGCATTGAAGTTAGATATACTTGCTGATAATTGCTTGAATCACTTCCCCCTCACAAACACTCTTGCTCTTCCTTTTTGAAGATCTGTATCATACCTACTCTTCTCCAATAAGAAGTAGGGAGGCAGGGGACTGACTTTTTTTAAAAATAAAAGTCAGCAATTCACTAGGTTGAACAGCATTCATTTGGAACATTATACTGAATACATTCACGTTTTCTAAATGTTTCCATAGCTGTTTTTTAATAGTAGCACTTAAAAAATCTTTATTAAATCCTAATTGTCCATACCCCTTTCTATTTAAAAGTCAATTTGAATTGGAACTAACTTAGTTCCACTCACTTGTTAATAGGTCTGTTGTCTTATATTTTCCCTGTGATATTTTGTCAAATCCTTTGACCTTTTGGACTCCTATCTCATTCTTATGATTTTTTTTCTTTTCACCTTTCTGTGTGTATCTTTTCTTTGCAAATTTAAACTGGTTTTGGATCTGTCTAAACCACTATAAAATTCACATGATTAAGCACGGTTCTTAACATCTTTTTGTTCTTAATGTGTGGATGGAAACAAACCTTGGCCCCAGTCCCACAAACACTTAATCATGCGCTTAATGTAAAGTTAAGCAGGTGGGGAGGTGTGCTCAGGAATAAGGTGATGGTTTGTAACGGATAAAATGCATGTTTACTAATTTACCTAACTGCACCAGTCACTACTGTTATCTTGTCCCCTCCTTTCCCTCAATTTGTTTAGTATTTACCTCTCTTACTATCCAAATTAAAGACTGTGAGCTCCCTGAGGCAGGGACTGGTTTTTTGTTGTGTATGTACAGCACCTAACATAATGGGGCCCTAATCCCAATTAGTAGTACCCAAGGACCCTGAGGTAGAAATAATAAATATTTAATGCTTTAACTCTAGGCTTCAGCAATGGTTAAATAATCAGGCAGAAACACTTAGTTTCATAGTGTAGAGAGTCCATTTGTTTTTCCTCTTGTCCTTTATAGGATAATATCTCTCTAATCTAGAAATGTATATTGTACTTATTGCTGTGGTATCAGAGTACCTGTTGCTGAGCAAATTCTCCTGGAGCTATGTTGGCTGCTGATTTTTACTTTTATTTTCTCCCTGGAATAGTTGTTTTTTCTGTAAGAACTGTAGTCCTGTTATCTTCATTATCGTGTGTGTAAAGGATTTAAAATCTACCCTGGTGATGATGGAAGCATCACTTGGGTAGCTTGTACCTTCTATATTTTGCTGTAATGTTGCATTTCCTGTCTCATGGAGCCACTTTCAGATCCTCTGTTTTGCAGAACACTCCTGATTCGTAAATAATTTCTAAATGATTTCGCTTGTGTTAACATTTGGCTTGCACTTGGTTAAATTATATATTAGCATAATCTCCGTACTGACACTTAGCACGGTCTGTCCCTTTACTGTTGGACAATAGAAGCATCAACAATATTTCATTGAGAGAATGAGAAGAGAGTTTGCAAATTAGGATAACCATGTTTTCTTGTCAGACAACCAACTTGTTTTTAACTTGTACAGTGAAAGACACAACTCTATATTCCCATAGGGGACATCTTTAGGTGTGCTGTCTGAAGGTTTTTTACTTAAATGCTTATATGCCCCTCGGTTGTTCCTGTTCAGTTGTAAGTGTGGAATTGTGTTCTCCCATAACCCGCTCTTGTGCTCTCCTCCCACCCAGCTTACTCGCTACTTTTGCAAGTTGGCAATGCAGTGTTTAATAGTGGCATTTTGAGGTTGGATCCCCAGGCCACCTTGTGCATATGAAAATATCAGTGTGGACAGATTATTTGGGGAGAGGAAAAACTCCTCTTCCCTACAAAATAAGCGTTTTTAAGTACTTGGAAAAGTGATGTGGAATAAATGGTGTACTCTGCATAAGGCAGAACTGTTTTCGTGCCACTCATCTGTCCTTACAGAGGTGTTGGTATTTTATTTCAGTATTCCAATTTCTTTTCAATATTTTGTGGCACTGGTAATATGTTGTGCTAATATATAATTTGTAGTTCCTTTCTGATATATTTTCCATAAGTTCCCCAGCATTTTGACCCCAAGTAAAAATCTGGAGAATGATTGGCTCTATTGCTGCTGCATGTTTGTTCAGCTGTAAAGTTACATTTCCATTCTTCCTGTTTGTGACATGCTTGTTAATGGTCATTGATCAGCATGTAAAAGGCACGAGGAATGGAAATGCAATTACCAAGCTAGACAAATAGACAGTAGCAGCAGGCTCCATCAGAAACCCAGTTAGATGTCACAAAGACAAAGGAAAAGAGTGAAATAAAATTCTAGAATGATGTGTGAGGTTTGCCAAATAAAATGGATGGCTCTTGAATTGAATAAGAAAATTCAAAGTCATGCAAGTTAATGAAAAATCATGCTGTCCCAGATCATTGCAGCTCTTGTCCTTGTAGAACAGGACAGTTTGTATGCTAGAAGTGTGCTGTTATAAAGTAGTGCAGAAAAATGGAAACTCAGATAGCAAGTCTCTTTTAACATCTAGTTCACTGGGATTGAACTGCCTTAAATGCAAACAAGAAATTGTAATTTCTGCGGGGGGTTATGTGAGCAAGAAGGTACTGTCTTGCAAGGTGTGTCCTTAAAGTGATGAGGCAAGGTCCTCTCCTTGGTCTTCACTCTTACTCCTGGGATCCTGTGAAAGATCAAAACTGACACTTGCTTGGCTATGCCATGGTGATTATGTTTTTTCAGATCCAATCCTACTGTTCTAATGCTACAGCAACCTGATTCCCACAGTTCTTGACCACCTTATCCTGGGACAACACCAACATCAAAATCTTAGAGCTGCTGTTGGTGTCGACAGTCTGGCTCATAAGAACATAAAAACAGCTATAAGTGTTGAAACTTTG